TGGACAAGTCTGCAAGGGTTGTGAAAGGCACATGACGAGCCGAGAGGAGCTTAGCGCCCGCGGGGATGGCAGTGTGAGGAGGTGAGGCCTTAAACCTGAGTGAAGAATCAAGGAAATTACAGATGCTATGCCACGATTCCGGAGCAATGCTGAAATTAGTGGCAGCCGGAGACCAAAGGTCTTTGTAGAAAGGGTGCATCATGGCACGCATAGTGGGGAAGAGTGCACAGGCCCACATGGCAAGGCCCAGAAAAGATTCCAGTTCCTTGGTAGAGATACGGCCCCCGCCCCTCAGAAGGGAAGGCACTTGTTCAAGGAGCCGCAAGCGTTTTTCTTCCCTGAGACTAACCGTACCCGAAGAGAAGCACAACCGCCATCCAATCCAATCGACCCGGCAAGAAATTTGTAATTTTTTCCAACTGACTGGAACACCCAGGATCTGAAGAAAGAGGCATATCACAGCTCCCGAGAGCGGCATGAGGCTGGCCGCTTGGCTGAAAATGAAGTCGTCCACGAAAAGGAGGCCCACATGGGCCAGGAACAGCAGGGTATGTAACAGGCGCAAAGTGCACCCTCCCACGCGACCCCACCAATGCTGTGAGAAAACTGCTCCGAATGGGCAGCAGCGAAAAAAGTATAGCGCGTTGTGCCAAGTGAAGCCGAGCAGGCCCTGCTCGGAGTCGCGGATGCGGCAGCGCTTGTGCGCCTGCTTGACATCAATGCAAATGGCCATCTGGCGGTCGGAAGTCTCGCGAATCGGGAAAGAATGCGAAACATCGTGTATGCTCGGGAAACATTGACGTTCCGGCACTGTGCACTGAGAATTGGTCCCAGCTACGCTGTTGTCCAACACGAGTCGTTCGGCCCTCCCCGGAGCCCTAACAACCCCCAATTTTCCCAGTGCTAGGCCAACGGGCCATCTACTTTTCGCCTCCTCAAGTGTGCCTTCAAACTTAAAGCAGTATCCCGCGTCCAACTCCTCTTGGAGCAAGCGCGAAGTGACCTCAGGAGCCACATCGGCCGACTTCCAGTTTTCAAGATTGAGCGCCAATGGAATCAGCTCCCCTGATTGGCCTTTGGGAGGCCAGAAACAGTTGGAAGGGGGGATGTCGTTCAAGTACCCGGTTGGCACACCCATACGCAAATGCGGAAACAAATGAATGTCCTGATCGCCACAATGTTGTGCCAGGGCTTCAAACGCGTGCAAGCACATGGGTTGGTATGGATGCACATACCAAGCGTTATCCGGGGTCTGCATACCCAGCGAAGGAAACACCAGATCCCTGGCTGCGGACACTTCGGAAGAGCTGAAAAGCGGTTCATTCGACGGGCAGGAACCGCGAGCAAGCAAGCGTTTGTCGGCTCGAGCTGAGATGCAGAATTGCAGCAGGGCTTTGCGTAATCCCCGAAATGCATCATGGCTTGCTGGGCTGCTCCAATCGGCAATGGAGCGTTTTCCAGCACCATCATGAAGTGCATGTGGGCCTGCGAAAAGGCCTTTGCGTGGGATGGACTTGATGACTGACTGCAGGGATAGCACGCGGCCCTCTGCCGGGAGCAGAGGGGCAACGATCGTGGCAAACGAAGATGCAAATGCACTTGCGCATTGCGGGGGAGCGAAGGCTGGCGAGCTGACCGCCAGAGCGGAAAGCGGGCGGAAAGAAGCAGCCAAAAGCTGGGGCTGGCACGGAACAGCTGAGTCGGAGTACAGTAATGGGGGTATCAAGATCAGAGCACAGTTGCCCTGATGCAGCCAGGCCTGGGGCCGCTCAGACGACCAGTAAGAAGAAGTGGGGGGCAATTCCAAATGCCCTTGACCCCCTGCCGTGTGTACAATGCTGAGGAGCCAGGTGCAACGGGAAACCTTTGCCGCCGCCGTTTGCTCGTGCATTGCCGATAGCAGCCACGAGGAGGAACCCACGTCGTCAGGCGAGTCTGCTGACTCGGCTAGTGGCGATGCTGCAAGATACGCGACCGCTCCCGAGCCGCAAAGGAAGAGGACCTGCTCGAGGAGGTCTGGGCAAAGGACATCCAGGGTCGGGTCAAGGCTGGGGCTTAGGGTGAGGGAGTTTCCACCTGAAGCACGGACAGCCATGCTCAGTTGATGGCGCGAGTGATTGTTCCATGTGATCTCGAGAAAAAGACGCGCCGGGAGGGAAGAAATGCAAGTATCAGCTCGCCAAGCGCCCTCCGGTGGTGACAAGGGGCGTGCAACCCTAAGCTTGTGGGAGAGAAACAAACCCGACGTGGAGCGTTTTCCCCACAGTTTGCATCCCAGTGGCAGCTTAGACGATGCCGAATTGGAATGGACTGTATGTTCCCTGCACGACTGAGGTTCGTGCTGCTTAGTAGTCGAGACGGCTTCCGGTACTCCGGGCATTGGCTGTGCTGAAGGGAGATGTTGCGCAGGAGGAACATCTGCGGACGCCTCGGAGGCTGACCCAGGGTTGCCACTGGATGGAAACTCCTCCTGAATGTGCGTCCCTGCTAGTAAGTGCGATGAAGTGATGTCTGCTTCCTCGAGCCCCGCGGGCGAGGTGGGGGAGGCAGAGGGACTAGGGGCAGGACTAGAACCCAAGAGGGGAGACGGCAGTGGGAAACCCAGAAACTCAAGTTCGGCACAACACACGTCAGGCAGGGAAAAGGCTGTGAGGGCCCAACGCTCTCCTGAGAAAGGAAGTGTCATGTGTCTAATGCGGCCATCGAAGCTAATGGCTTTGCGATGTGTGTCGATAGCACAGCCATGCAGCCAGCCCGAGCCAGATGCAACTGATGTCGGCTGGCCTTGCGAGAGGCAGGAGAGGTCCTCAATCCACAGATGGCCACCCGAGAAGGCGCCCAGCGAGAGTGACAAATTGCGTGAGCCAGGAATGTTCGCTGAGTCGGAATGCAGCGCACTGAGGCCATTGCGCGAGACACACAAAGCGTTCCAGTGCTCGTTTGGAAAGAGGAACCTGAACAGGGCATTCAGGTCCCTGCAAAGCTCAGGCAGGGCGATGGTGACCTGAGTAAGTGAAGAACGCCTAGAAAGCTGAACCCCGAAATTAAAATAGCCTGAAGCAGACGAGGCACCGGAAATGATGTGAGCACGGCGAACCTGTTGGGGCCAAGGGGCCTCCCGCAATGAGCACAAAATGCAGTCGAAGAGGCCTGCCAAGGCCGGCCCACAGAAATTGGAAAATTCAAGTGCGTGACCCAAAGGGGCGGTACCGCTGGCGGGCGGAATCGGCGCAATGGGAGTGCTTGAAGTGCATGTGGAGGGGGCAACGTCCCCCGAAGGCACTGAACCAGTATGATGCACGGAGGGTACGGCCTCCTGAGGCGGTGACACAGAAACTGTACAATCGGCAGAGAGGGGTTGTGGCGGCAGTGGCGGAAAGCTGAAGTCCAAAACTTGCGAGCCCCGGGGGGCTTGCTGTTGCGATGGTGGAATCGGCGGTGGCAGTGGCGGGGGAGCAGGCAGCTCCCCCCAGCTGTGGATGGACCCGGCAACACTTGTGGGTGGCGAGTCGGGCGCATGATGTCACTTCTCAGGGTGCTGAGGCGCACCGTGGTCCTTGCTAAGGCAGGGTGAACCATCGGGCTTAGGGAAGGCGCAGCCGTGCGTGAACTCGCAGGAGTTGCCACGCTGGCATTTCCCGATCTGCCACCCAATGCACAATTTTTTCACCTGGCCGCCCTCCTTGTACTCGCGAACCCACGGAACGCCCCTAGGCTGGGTGCCTTGCTTGGTGGGGCTCTTGGCTTTCCCCTTGCCCTTGCCATTGCCACGACCTGGCGGTGGGGTGGGCGGGCGGTTGTCACGGCCGCCCGGTGTATACGGCCTACGATTGCCTGCAGAGGCAGCTTTGGCGCGGGGCTGCAGCCATGACGACATATCGCCACGGATCTCCGTGAACTCGTAGATCGCATCATTCACCTGCCATTCTTTCTCGATCACAAGCTGAAAGATGCACGACCACAAGTGTTTGTCCGCCTGCTGAGCTTCCAGCACAGAGGGGGGCCGAAGGTTTGTTTCAGGCGGGAATTTTTGCGAAACGAGGCTCAAGAACTTAGAGGTGTAAGCTTTGAGGCGCGCAAGATGCGCGGTGCCTGCAAGAGCGAGGGCATTGTCATGCACCTCCAACAGCCTACGGATCATTGAAATCCCCATGGTGGAATCATTGATATCAATCTGTGGCGGTTCATCAAGCAACAGGTCCGAAAGCTGAAGGGTCTCAATCCTGGCCCTTTTTGCGGGCTTCTGCGTGAGGGAATCCTCATACATCTGTTGTGTCATGCGACTCTTCCACGGGATCCAAGACCAGTTCTTCTTAACCTCGGCGTCGACAGCAGTGCTCAAGAGGCGGAGCGAGGGGGTATTCATAGCCGTCAAGATTTCGGATGGGAAGGCTTCCAAGAAACGCTTTTTGAGCGTGGCCACCCGCGTTGCATCAAGCTTGGGGGCGAAGGCTTCCGACCATCCCGAGCCCTGCTTGGCCGGGGATCCCAGCGGTTCTGCAGGAGCAGGATCGTTACTACCGCGTCGCTGCAGCGACGACCAGACGGCTCGCAGCTTGGCACGCTGCATCAAGGACACTTCAGTGTCCGGGAACATCTCAGGGAGGACCCCCGCAAGCTCAGATTCCTGGCAGACAACATGGCGAAAAGATTTCGCATCCCAACCGTCGGCGAGCAGCCGATCCGTGAGCTCCTGGCTGATGCCGTGATCCTGAAGGAGCTGATTGAAGCTTGAGGCTCCCTCTGCTTTAAGCGGGCACGGTGAAGGATTCACCAGATTGAATGATCCATCCGCGGATTTAGCATCGAACAATTCATCTGCCATGGTGCGAGAGCAGCGGTCGGCAAAAACTACCGTTCGGGCCTGAAGCGGCTGATCGAGGGCAGACCCGTGTCCTGGCAGGCTCAATGCAAAGAAAATGGAATGCATGAAGAAAACATGTGCAAGCAGAATGCGAGCGCATACCGATACAAGACAAAGGCAGCAAACTGCACTTTTACTAAGCTTCCAGAGCAGCGAATGCATTGACACAGGCATTTCGCCTGCAGAGAACATGTTTGGAACTAAGAGAGTGGACCGACTGCCAACGTGGGCCCGACATACCGATGCCACAAAGTGTCCTCTCACCTGACGGGCATGCGGCGTGCACAACGCCTGTTGCGGCGACCATGTGCACCTCATCTGGGGGGCCGAGCGACGCGGGCCCTGCCTCGGACTCAAGACTTGACTCAGATCCAGCCTCCGATGCGGAGTCCGGCAAGGAGGGCTCTGCAGCCTTGGTGCTGGCCTCTGCAGCAGGTGTTTCCGCAGCGCATGCCGAAGATTGACCGGGAACCCAGGGGAGCGACCCGGGGACACCAACATCGAAGGAAAAGAAACCCCACGGTGCAGGATCGATCTCCTTGCTGAAGGCTTCCAAAGTAAAAGGGATCGGTGCCATAGGCAGCTGTGCTCCACGGTGCAATGGCGTCCTTGGGCGAAAATCCGCCAAGACAGCAGACCTCAATTGTGTCTGAGCGCGGAGCGCCCCTAGCACGTCATCTCTGCTGTAGAGTTCCCTGCTACTCCCCCTATGATGTCCTTGAGCGTCCCTGTCTGGGCCGCGGATGTCCGGCACCTCAAGCATATAACTTAAGAGGCTACACTTCATGGAGTGCACCGTATAGTTTGATACGGGCACCTCGGGTGGAGACACCATCCAAGGAAACTGCAAGTAATAGCGCAACCAGCGCAAGCATGAAGGGTAACTCATCGGCTCCAGGGGCCGGAGCAACTCGGCGTCATCGTCCAGTGCCGGAAACAGAAAGCTAGGAGCCACCCCAAAGTCGCGCACCTCCTGCGAAGCGATGGAATCAAGAACCCGGAGCCACCTAGCCACCCAGGAGTGTGTGCCATGATGCAAGAAGCCTTGAGTGATTAGGCCGAAGGGTTGGCCCTGATGCGAAGTTTTCGTCTGGTATGCAATGGCCCGAAGCGAAACCACGTCGAAAGCAAATGAGCTCCATTCGATGCGCTGGCTGTCAGCAAAGCGAAGACTCGCCCAACATGTGACCAAAAAAGCACCGAGCAGTACTATGTCCCGCACTGGGGTGGAGCGCTGAAGGATGCGCCGTTCCCACTGCACAAGAGCATACAGCGGCAGGGGTAGGCTCTCCCTGCGGTCCTTAGGCAATTTGGTCTTCAAGAAGGATGAAATCAGCTCGCCAAAGAAAACCTCAAACACAATGCACTGGGTGTTCTTGCAAACCCACCGTACGGCCTTGATGCAAGTGATTGCCGACGATCCGACAGTCGGATCCTCCTGTCTTTGAAGCTGCAAAGTGACCAAGATGTCGGCCGCTTGCACTGCAGTAATCTCAAGAAGACACACATCCAAGTCCTCACAAGCTTTAGCAAAGGAGTTAAAGGTAGTGATGTACCTGATGACAGTCGTTGCGGCAAAACCTGCAAGTACACGGCGCACGTGTGCATCGAAATGCACTGCTGATTGGATGGCGGAGAAAAAGCTAGATTCAGACCCCAAGAAGGCAAGAAGCTGCAGCATGAGGTTCACAGCAATCTGAGAGCAGGCCGCTGAGTGTGCACGAATGGCCTGCATCCCGCGACCATCCTGCTTGCTGGCGCGCGGGCGCTTGTTCGATACCGACACCACCATTCCTTGCGGATTGGGCAATGGAGGTGCAGCCTGAAGCTCAGGCAAGGCTTGAAACGGCGGTGTGAAAGGGGCTGCACGGGCCGGCAGTGCCGGGGGCCTCAAATGCACGTGCCGATTCACAGGTGGGCAAGGAATGCCCGACTCGGGGAGGGGCGGTGCGGACCTAAACCGAAGATACCCGAAGGAGGGAGGGGGACTAGGCCTGGAGCCAACCCCAGGCAGTCTACGATCAGCATATGGGCCACCACGTGGCCCGCCCAAGCGAGACCTGTCATCAGGGTCAGTGGGCCTGGAGGACATCTCGCCAGCAAAGCCCCTTAATCCAAGGAATCCAAAAAGCTCGACCCGTCCGGGCAGCACGGCCCGTCAGTGAAGTCCGGTTCTCCTTCAAGCCGAGTAAGGCGCTGTTGCAAGAACACAAACTGGTTCTGCAGCCTAAACTGATTCTCAAGCAGAAGGTCAGCACGCTCGTGCAGAGCAGTCAAAGCTTCAAGGGTGTCGTCCCTGAAAGATTGCAGTGCTTCGATGAAGTCTGATCTCGCACTATCGACGTCCTTTTTGGCTTCCACAGAGGCACCACGAACCAAGCTGAGCAGCGAGCACTCAAAGTACTGACGGAACTCTTCAAGCTCAGCACGAGACACCATACAAGAATGACAGATCACTCAAGAGGCGAGAGGTGCCTGCCATGCACCCCCCTTGTAGGGGGCGATCGCGCTACCCAGGCCACGAGGAGCTAGAAGCCTTGGAATTAGCCCCCGGAGCCTGCTAGACAGCACTACAGGACTCTAGAGAGGCCCAAAATCAAAATTGCGAAGCGACTTCGCTGCAACTTGATCCAAAGCGGAGTGCGGATGCACAGAGCTTCACGACATGTACCGAGGCAAGAAGATGCAGGCACTGGCAAAAGCGAATAAAGGAAAACCTTCCAGTTTTACCAAAAGAAAGGAAACCGTTTTTCCATTTGCAAAACACCAGTGGACAAGTCCACCCGTACTCCTCGACCGTGCATTCGAAGATTGCCGAAAAGAACTCCCGCACCTCTGTACGTGCGCTTGGGATGCGCACATAGTGGTACTCCAGCAACCAGAGCACTTCCGCTGCGGTGTTGTCTTGAGTTTCTGCTTCGAACTGCGCCAGCAACTCCGTCACCGAGTCCTGCGTGCGGCCACACAAACCTCTGCAATACTCGCAGTACTCGGCGTACATTCCCGCCGCATAACGGCGAACATCCCGGTCCGACGGGTACGGCCCCTGCTTCTGGATCAAAGGACCACGGATCGGACAGAGCAGCTGCGAGATCAGGGGTAGCGACATGGCTCGCCTCCGGAAACTTCAGCAGGGACGGATTTTCGGCCTGCGGCTACCCTTCGCGCAGCCCTCCTTCGTCGCAATTTGAACTGCTGTTACAGTCACTGAACCCGTACCAACGCTCACAGAAGCACCAAGCTCTTCACCGCTGAAGATTCTCGCCGCCGACCTGGGCCGCCAGACCAATGCCCATAACCAGCCATGAATTGAATCCAAACCAAGCCCCACACACTAACAGACGAGTAAGACAGGTCCTATTCTACTTATACCTGCGGAATTTCGAACGCCTAGTTTTTACCTTGGCCTTCTTGAATCGCCTTGCAACTCCGAGGCTCCACGAACCTCAATCACATCAAACGCCTGCCTCCCCAAACCGTATTATTTAGGGCTGGGGGCCCCTACTTTAAGGACGCGACTCCTTCCATTTGCCGCTATGGAAGCTACGGTTGAAAACGATTTGATGTCTCGAACGTCAAACGCTAACATGTCAGCCCTACATGCCACTAGGTGGAAGTTACGCGAGGACAGGCTGATAGAGTGCAGGGCGAGAGTTGAGATCGGCAGTGCAATGGAACCTAGTCGGAGGAGAGCTCATGAGGTCGCCTCCTACCCAGGGTTCGCTTCAAGAAACCGGGTTGGGATCCGCGGCAGTGCAGGCCTGATTCCATGCAGGATGAGAAGAGTCGAGAAGGGACTCGAATGAGAGACACGAAGGCAGGCAAACACGATGGCAGCCTAGGGAAGTCCCACTTCACTTTCGAGGTTCCGCTTTCTCTCTTGGATTCCACTGTGGGTCAGGGATCTTAGGGACCGAAAGAAAAACCTCCCGTGATGACTCGGTGCGAGGCAAAGCAGCATGTCGACCTTCGTCGCAGATGTGTAAATTCGAAATCAAGCCCGGCGGCATAACCCAATCCCCTCTTGTTCGTAAAGGAGTGAGCCCCATTTGACGTGCATAGCATCGCTGAAACGCAGGGAGCCCCAAATCATGACAAGCAGCGCCCCGATGTTCAACTGTAGTTCCGGAAAAGCATTCGAAAGCAGGCAAAACTCCAGAAAGGCCACGAAGTCGAGTGGTAAAGGCACTGACTCCCTGCGATCTGCTTCGTTACGTTGGTGGGCCACTGAGTGAAAAAGCCCTGTATACAAATCTGGAAAGGAAATGGTGGCCACTTTGACCATCCACCTCAAAGCTTTCAATGTGTTGAGTGGAAAGCATGATGTAGGGACTTCCTCTTCATCCTCGGGGGACCTGTAAAGCTGTATCATCACATCATAGGCCTGCACCTGGGAGATTCGCGAGGCATCGAAGCCCAAATCCTGAAGCAAGGCAAAGTACTGCAGGCAGCTCTGCACATACCTGACCAGTGTCGTGTCGGCCACTGATGTAACCAGCTGAGAAAGCAAAGCTTCTGAGGATGCCGACTCCAAAATCTCCTGCAGGGCTGAGCTCAACGGTGAAAGCAACAGGACTAATTGACGCCACAATAGAAGTCCCTTGGCACGAAGCTTGGCATGCACATCGTTCTGCAAAGTGATCCGAGCTGTCGAATTCGCCGGCCGAGTCGGCAAAGCAAAATTGCCAGGCATGACCCTAGGTGGTTCCGGTGGAAAGGAGTAATCTTTCGCCGAAGCAAAAGCATCTGCAGCCTGAAGCAAGTCATCCACAAAAGGATCATCCTGAGCCGAAGTGCCGGACGTGGCCCACATACCTGAAAAGTCGGGAGCCGCCAAAGATCTGGACTCCGAGGGGTAGACCGCATAATCACGAGCAGGGCGAAAAGCAGGTCTGGCACGTGCATCCTGTGACACACGTAAAGTAGCAGTGGATCGCTGCGAAAACACCGGTCGAGCTTTGGGCAAATCACCACGCAAAGGTGCCGTAGATGATGGAGCAGACCTGTCCACAGGCGTAAAGCACGGTCGAGGCCGAGGCTTCCACTTGGGCGCGGCCGGCACCATCGGCAAAGTGGAAGCACCTGACAGCCAGGATGAAGGCACTGGTAAATCAATCTCTGGCGCGGCTTCCACAACCGCAAAAGAACCATCACCTGACGAAAGTGTCAAAGCAGGGCTGGAATCATCCCTGCCATCTGCACGCTCCACTACTACATCTTGTAAAGGAGCCCCATCAGGTTCCATTGGAGCATCCTGTAAAGAAGCTTCAGCAGGTTGCCGCCTGTAACGTTTCACACGAAGACGGCTATCATCAGAAGCATCTGCCATTGACTAATCCAGCGAGTCCAGAAAAGAAACACCGTCTGTGGGCTCCGGGCAGCCTTCGAGGATCTGAAGGCGAGCACTCAGGATGTCGATATCTGTATGTAAAGCAGGCAAACGTTGTTGAAGAATATGATCTACTCTTTCGTGAACGCCGCCTAAAGCTTCCAGTGTATCTTCCCGAAGCTCAAGTAAAGCAGCAAAGAAATCTTCACGGATCGCTGCACTCTCTTTGCTGGCCTGCTTCTTGGCACCTTCAAACAGGCTCCAAAGACTACTGTCAAAGTAAGTGCGGTACTCTTCCAGCTTTGCCAAAGAAGTTTGGCGAGCCGACTGGAGAGCGGAAAGTTGCTCCTCCAATGCAGCGATCCTGTCAGATAAAGTTGCCTCGCACAATGCAATGTCAAATTGCCTGACAGGGAGGTCCAACCACTGTAAAGTTTGTTGAAGCTCTGCCGACTGCGGAGCAGGGTCAGCCTCCGAGTCCATCAAAGGACGCAGAGAAGCTATGTTGTACAAAACTGCAAAACTGACGCGTGCTGAAGTAAATCATGTGCATGAAAAGCAAAAGCAATCTGCTGCATGTTCAAAAGTTTAAAGCATGAAGCGAAGCTTTATGCTATGCTGAAGCACGCGTGTCTTGGGCCGAAATGTTGTGTTTGGAACGCGGTAAAGTAAAACACCCATGAGTAAACACATGAAACAACTTCGTCCATACAGAGATAGCATACGGTACTGCGAGCAAAAATACGCATACCATCATTCCAACTTCAAACTTCGTGAAGTTTCCGTCCATGGCGTTCATACCTTTCTCCAAGGCTCCACAGGCTTCTCCTTGGGCGTTAGCTACTTCTTCCTTGAGCACTGCTGCGGTAATAGGCTTCATCAAATGAAATACCTGTATGGCTCTAATGAGATTCTTGATTTGTCCACTTCCGACATACTCCTTCAGTTTCTTCTCCTGTTCATGCTTTTCATACTCTTTCTCTCCAGTGTACTCCAAGTTTCCTTCTTCATCATACTCTACTTGGGACAAGTGATACAGTAGAAATGACCTTCGGGCATATGACAACTTCTTGGTGTTCAGATCCGCTACATTGAGCGCGGTTCGCACTGTACCAAGTTTTACAAGATTGTCTCGCACCCAATCTTGCAGTTGACACAGCCTAACGTCCACATGCTTCAGACGTCCAACTCCTCGTCGTTGACTCCACTGTCGTGCAAATGATGAATCGCACCGTATCTCCTGTATTACAGGCGCGTTCACTAGAAACTCGAATAGCCTTCCGACTAGGATAGCTTCTCCACAAGTTCCACTTAGTGCATACAACTCTGCTTCACAGCTTGATGATGATGTGGCCTTCTGAGTCCTCGAAAATGATGACACTTGTACTCCGTTCAGTACAATGATTCCTGATGATGTACTCTTCCGTCGGGCTCTGTCCGGTGTTTTCAGGCTTGCCCAATCACTGTCCGAATACGCTTCCACAACATGTCCTGCGTCCTTGGCAATTTCTTCATCCTCATGGCCATTCAACTTCGTGATCAACCGGCTTCCGATTTCGGTGTACGGTAACAGGGTAGCCCTTGTGGCTGTTCCACTCAGATACAGAATCAAGTGTTTCAGACACTTTAGTGCCTGCACCGTCGGCTTCGACATACTTGATGCCAAACACTTTGAGGCATACTGAATGTCAATTCTGTCCTGTGCAAGGTACAAAATAGATCCGAGTCCAGATCTAAACCGTTTTGTCTCTTCAGCACTCAACTCCTTGGTCCGGTCTTCCTTCACCAGATCCACATGCTCTGGTGTGGCCTTACTCTTCAACTTTCCAAGGTCATACAACTCAATGAGCTTCCGAACATACTTCTCATTCGGTTGGACAACAATTCCTTCTCGGGTGAAGACATACTTCCTTTTGAGATATCGCATCTCTTCTCCACTTCCTACTCCATTCGCTGGGTACGGTCCTTCTTTCTCCACCTTGAATACCTTCTCCAGTTCTTCTACCAACCAAATGGTTTCTTCCTTTTCTCCTGCCAGTAGCTCATCGTCTACATGGATAGAGATACACAGCTTCCTTGTGGTGTGTCTAGCTAATGCGGGTACATGTACTGAGAACACGAATCCAAGTTTCTCAAGTATACTTCGCAAGTGTTCATACCATCTTGTTGCTGCGTTTCTTTGACCAGGTAGGCATCTCTTGAGCCTCCACACGATTCCTTCTTTCAGGTTCGCGGCTCGTTTCATCCAATCACTGATCGTGACCTCTTCTTGTTGCGGGACCTGAAGGTACGCGTCCTTTATATCGAGTACAACTACGACCCAGTTGTACACCAGGTGTAACAACAAGACTAGGCGCGACGCGGCGTTGCTTGCCGTTGGGCTGAATATCTCAGCCGTGCTGCTCGCACCTGCCCTGTACTCTCTGGCCACTATGCGGCACCTCCTTTTCCAACGTCCGTCACGATGCCTCCAGTCGTAGACTTCGCGCAAATCCATACGCTTTTCATCACCTGTTGCATTCGCCTCCATGAATTCCTCGATTACTCCTAGCTTGCTAAGGCGATTCAATTCTTCCACGGCTGCTTCCTGATCCAAGGCATCCAGTTCCTCTGGACTTAATTCGGGTGGTGTTTCTCCTTGGTCATTCTTTGGAACTTCTTCCATCTCTTCTTCCATGAGATCTTCATACTCCACGTCTTCTCCTTCTACTGCCGTGAGATCCTCATGTTCATCCCAATGAAAGGGGTCATCTTCCTGAGATACCCTGCCTGCGAACAAA